ATATTTATAAAGAAATTGATGAGTTTATATTACCCTCAAATAATTTAGTTGTTGAATGGGGAATTTATTGTGGTTTGCGAGAAATCTTTGATGAAAATTTTGACATTAATAGTTACTGGATAGAAAAAGAAGTACATTACCGATTTTATCTAAAATGGCTTCATTTTATATTTGGTTGCCTGTTTCAGGCGTGGATGTTGAACATAGTTTTTCTGCGTACAAAAATATTCTTGGTGACCATAGAAGGTGTCTTTCAGAAAATTCTATTGCGATGTTAAATTTTTTATATTATAATAATGATTGTTAGAATTTTGGTCAATTTATTGAGATGTTTCTAAAACAAAACTGTAAAATTTTTTTTTATATATTTTAGATACGCTTTTTGCTGTATTGTTGTATTAAATTTTAAATCGGCTTAAATTTTAAAGTATTATTTATGTATCGCCGCAGAATCTGCAAAATTAAACGGTAATTGCAGCAGAATTTTACCGTTAAAGCAGCAGAATTCTGGACACTCTAATACAGAGTATCAAAGTTGTAACGATTATTTCATATAAAAAATGTAATCTTTTTTTGAAAACGAATATTTAATAAAATTTTAATAAAGTTTATAATATAAATCTAGTTGCATTGTATTTGATCCGGTAACCAAAAAAAGTTGTTAAATGTTTTTAATATTCCTTGTACTTAATATAATACGTATAATAAAACCCGAGTATCAAACTAAATAATAAATAGTATATTTGTTCAGAGCGAAGCGACGAACTTATATTTCTACGTTAAGTGATGACTGAAATTACGTTTTTGATACATTTTTAATAAAATTATCAAAAATGTATTACGCGTTTGTGCACATGATATAACTGATAATGTTGGCCAAGATGGTTATAATTCAAGCCAAATTTTGAATAATGCGGGCCGAGGTGCTTATTTTCAAGGGGAATAAGATATATGTTTAAAAATTACATATATTCGTTACAGTATATTGGCTTAAAATCTATAAAAAAAATCTAAATTAGTAACTCTGCTAAAGTTGATTTTAATAGATACATTTATCAGAATAAAACTCAAGTATTAGTCTAAGTATTAGGAAATTTAAAATCTTATAAATAAAAAGACTCAGAGGTTGATTATTCTTTTTTATTTGAAATATTAAAAAAAAAAATCTAAAGTCCAGTGAAGTTTCAAATTGATTTATGTTTTATAACGTTAATTAAAACCCTTAATGCTAATTAAAATATTGTGTCATTCCACATTGACCTAAATCTATTGAGTACATCGCTTACGCACTATATCTCCAATAATATGAAATATATTTTGATGTTACACAAAAAGATGGTTCAATATATATACGTACAAAAAATTTTTGTAATGATTATGTGTGAATTAATATCATTATAAGAAATAAATCGGCTAATTTTGAAAAAAAAAATCGATCACTTAAGGCGAAAATATTTCCAGCCATTATTCGCCGCGATCAGAGCTAGGACTATCAACAGATGCAAGATTACGATGATGTGTCTGTTCCGCAGGTCCTGTAGGCGGTGCCCCAGGTCGGAAATTCGGTCGAATCCTGTGAGAGAATGGTGCTTCTGGAGGTGGTGAATGCTCCCAATCATGGAAATCGGATCTATTACCTCCATGCATTGGACCAGTTGGCGGTCGTCCCGCAAATCCAGGACGAAACGATTGTGAGTTCCGATTTTCCATTTCCCACGCTGTCAATGAACATATGCATGTTAACAATGTTTAAAATCTATCCGTTATGCATACATCATCTTAAACAACTAAATGTTTGAATGATGTAATCGCAATAAATAATTAAGTTCCATTTAAATAAATGATACATACATTGATCATCCATAGAAAAGAATGGCCTAAACAAAACAAGACAGACGCATCAATTATGGTTGTTTAAGGTTATTAAAATTATGACAATGATATTACCTTTCGTCCATCGACATTCCACGCCCACGTCCAACCATACCTCCAGGCATTCCAGGCATTCCTCGTGGCATTCCGGGCATTCCACCAGACATGCCACCAGGCATTGTCGGTGGCATACGTGTTGCCATACCGGGCATTCCTCCGGGCATTCCTGTAGGGCGCATCATTCTACGCATAGGTTGACCACCTTGATACGTTGGATCAAATCCCATTGGACCTGTTGGTGGCACTTCTGGATTCCCCATAAAAAATGGCGGTGGTGGTCCCATTTGCATATCCTTATTGCGAATAAGATAATACATTAGATATCATGATTTGATCTAAAGTTATCATTTAATAAATTACCGGTGGAGGAAACATTCTCATTCCCATCGGTGGACCTATAAAGAATTTTAGTTAATAAAATTAGAAAACAACATAGATGAAAACTAATAGAAAATAAAAGGTTATATAGACCTTGAAAATCATGTGGGTAGCCATTGGCGTCCATATCGTAATCTTCATTTTGAGGTCCGTCCATTGTTGGTGGTGGACTAATTAAATGTTAAAATTTAATAAAAAGCTAATCTCTTAGATTGTTTCCAGATGCTTGTACAATAAACTTACATTGGATCCATTTCTTCTAAAGCAGCTTCTCTTTCACTCGATACAACTTGAATTACAGAATCGTCTTGATCCCTCCCACGACGTCCTATAATCCTTTTTATTAGAATATGACAACCTAATTGCTTATATCAATAAAATATATGTCAATAACCACCTCTTCCTCGTTGCTGTTGGAACCTCGGATGATCTAACCCTGATTGCGGTTGGCTAATGGATTGTAGTTCTGGTGGCAAGCTGCTTACTTCTTGTTTAGATTCATATACCTAAAATGAAAAAATCAAAATTTTAAATAAAGGAAAGAAGAAGGAAAGAATAATTTATAAATTTGTACGTCTCATACATGAATTTTCTTTCGCGCATGTTGATCTTCTCGCATTTGCTTTTGTTTCGCACAATAAGCTTTCCATGTATACTCATTAAAGCCGTAATTAAAATAATCCGTTATATCAGCTCCTGTTTATGATACAAATAAATTAGAACTAGAATATTATTAATAGAAGTGCACAAGAATGATTGAAAGTTATTACCTGGTTTTCTCCAAGGCTTATCTTCGACTGAATCTAAATCGACATCATATATGCTTGTTCCATCAAGTGATCCAACAGCATTTATATCCACGCCTGGAGTACGACTTGATGCTTGTCCACTTTCTACTTGTACCGAGGATTACAGATTTCATGCATAAATGAAATTGCAAACAACAAACTCTTACTGATAAAACGTTGGTACATTTACCGTGTCGCTGCTGTACAATTTGTTTATTAAAGGAGTTGGGTTTAATATTGACCAGTGAGTTTCTTTTACAAGGAAAATTATAAAACAGTCAGCTTATAATAAATACATTAGCAGAAATTTATTATTGAAATAAGTTTTTGATACATTACCTAGTACCATTATCTGTTGGTTTGTTAGTCGTTGACGGCACATCCATAATAATTTCTATATCCTATAAAAAAATCTAAGTCCACAAATATCACAAAAAAAAAAAAAAAGAGATTAGAAATTCATTACTGATTCACTATCTTCTTCCTCTTCTTCTTCCTCCTCCTCTTCTTCATCATCTTTGACTAGTGGATCCGGCTCCTCAATTAAATCATGTTCATGTTGCTCTAAATTTCCATTTTCTCCAGATGTATCTAAAGGATCAACGTCATGTATATCTGTGGGAAACACTTGCCCAAGTTCATTGTCATCTTCATTTTGTCTTATTTAATTCAATAATAATTAATAATAATGTAATCCAATTTATAACAAAAATAATAAGCCTAGATGATATATAAAGATAGATCATATTTAAGATTTACAAAATAGATAAATTGACACATACATTAAAGACGAATCTATCCCTGTCTGTTCTGTGTCTACATTCATATTATTGATATCATTACTTCTCCAAAGTTTATAATATAGAAATATTAGACGGATAATCCAAAACAATTCAATTGATGAATAAAGACCCTTTTCATTTTCAAACACTTCACAAGAATACCCTATTTCTCACGTACTTTGGTTCTTCCCCATATAAATCAAAGAGGTCGTCATCTAATTAAGACCATATATATATATTTATTGTGAAAATCCAAATCATGTAAAGTAATCAAGAAAAAAAAAAAACAGATCAAGACATATTCAAAGAAGGAAAAAGTAGTTTTTTATTAGAATTGCTTTTTTTTTTTGAGGATGTTACAATTATTATTATGTATTTAAACTATAAAATAGTTTCAAGGTTGGGAAACGAAAATAAATAAAAAAATGTAAAAATTCAACTATATCGAGTCATCCACAAAAACTTATCACATTTTATTGTGGATTGTTTTCGTACCTTCATTCTCTTCTGCTACATTGCTCGATAAACCCACTATAGCATGCAGTGATAATAATATAGTAAGCGGTAAATGAAAGATCAAAAGTCAATCCTTAGCAATTAAAAAATGTCAACTATTCCTCAATGAAAAATGTTTAATAATGCTCTTTTATTTCCAAAAATTATTATTATTATTATTTTGGCATAAATCTAATGGATTATTGACTATTCAAAACCATTAAATTAGAAATCAGTTTAACTTTCATATGCTCGTTTTTTACCTTCGTTCTCTACTTGTACCGTTGAATTTGCTGTAATGGTTGTAGTGTCATCGTCCAGCGTACCGTACAAATATTCATCATCGTCATCGTAATCTTCAGTGTTGATAGGGTTATTGTCAGTCATTGTTATATTTTTTTTAAAGGAATTAATCGATTTTTATATTCATATACTGTATAATTTTATTCATGTGATTAAATTTGGTGTCAAATTTGTAAATCCGGCGAATATATTTTTTGGATCGAATCAAATTTTGGGGTAGGTTTGAGTTTAGTTTGAAGTTCAAACCAGACCCGAACCCAACTATTTTTTCAAGCCCAGTTTGGTTTGGGTTTGAATATCAAACTTAAGCTTGATCTGGGTCCGGTTCGGGTCCAGTCTGAATGTTCATGTGATAATGATGCTCCAATCATGTAGTATAGTTAAAAGAATGGAAAACTTACAATAAAATTAGAGAGTATTGATACTCTTCATATTAAAAAAGCCTGGTTTTGCTTTGTAGTGCAAAGTAAAAATAATGCTCCGTTACAGAACTAGGTATCGTCAGAACGCTAATTGATAATTTATTTAATACTCGGTTAAGTCGGCTTTATAAAAATCGGCTTGGTTAAGTCGACTAACCGACTTAACAAGCATCGACTTGTATCATTCCAAAATTTTTGATTTGAGTGATGATTAAAAATTAAATTAAAATACAGTCAACTCTCTCTAAGTGTAGGGAATCGATCCGTAATCCGACCATCTGAATTGATCCTTAAATATAGATAAATTTAAATATCCAGATCAGAGA